CCTTTGACACCTAGTTGCTAGGCACACTTCAGGTGCTAGCTGTGTGACTCTGGGAAAGTCTCTTTTAGCCTCAGTTTCCTTCTCTGCAAAATTGGTATAATAATAGAATCTACCTTACAGAATTGTTTTGAGATAGCATGGTATAGTGGGTAAAAAAAACCACTGGTATTAAAGTCAAGAAAATCTGGGTTCAAATTTTACCTTGGCCACTTACTGGCCATGGCTCCTTGCACAGATCACTTAACTTTTCTGGGCTTCAGTTTCCATACCTGTAAAATAGGGGAGTTAGACTGCATGACCTTTAAGGCCTCTTCCATCTGTAGATCAATGATCTTCTGACAAAGTGTATTTAAAGTGCTTTTCAAACCTCAATGTTCTATATATGAATATTTGCTATTATTATTATCTCAAGTTTTTTGGTGTAAGCAAGAGTCATAGAGAGAACTCTCAAGAACCTTTGAGTCTTGAGCAATGACAGATGGGGCATGAATATTACTCTAATATTCTATGTGTCCTCTGTGTAAAAGTACATTCAGAAGGAGACATTTTGTATGATGGAAGCCTAACCTCAAAAAATGTTTATGTTGTCTTGCTCTTACCTAGGAAAATGAGAAGATGTTGCTCTAAATGTCATCTAAGCTCCCTTAAAACTCTATATCTATATCCCAGGGATGTGTAGACATTTAAGACAGCAGGCTGCCTTCCAAATAACAAGAAGAGGCAACTAAAACTGTTTTTTGCATCAGAGTAATAATATTACATTTCCTGTTCTAAATGTTAAAAGTATGAGAGCCACTTCCCCAAGTTGCCAGAAATTTGAAGACTTTCCATTAAAAATGAGGAAGAAAAACTATAGTTTTGGTAAATGAAATGGCAAAACCTGGCAAGAGGGAAAAGGGCATATAGTAGTGCAAAAACCCCTATTCCTATCCCCAAATCTTTTGGGTGTTGATGAGGTCCCTCCCAAAGGAAAAAGAAGCCTATAGCTTATATAATGCAGCGTCCTTCACGAAGCATTTTCTAAGACTATGATTTCTACAGTTGCTTCCTTTTCTAATAGAGATAGCAGCTGATTTAAAAGAACATTATCCTAAAGGAATGGAAATTATCTAGTTGAAGTGATAAAAGTCTTTAAACTAGGTATCAGAAAAGTTTTGGACCTTTAAGAACCTTGAGAGTAGGGAATGTTTCATTCTTTGTATCTGTAGCCCCAGCATGTAGCACAGTCTGACATGTAGCAGGAGCTTAAAATTGTTTGTTGATTGAGGAAGTAGCCTAGTTCACCTGTTCCCCTACCTTCCCTGGACTCCTGCTCTTGCTGCAAAAATGGCAAAATCACATTTAAGTGAAACTGTTATCTGTAGGGGAAAGCACACTCTCGCTCTGTGACCCAGTCCATTGTTTGCCATTGCATAAGTCTGGAAGCCTTCCTGGGTGCTGCCCTATAGTCTTCCCTTCTTTGACCCCTCAGAGGACTTTGTAGCCCTCCCAAGGGCTTCTCTCATTTGTAGTTACTATTTCTACATAGGCAGCTAGGTGGTGCAGTGGATAGAATATGGGGCCCGGAGTCAGAAAGACTCATCTTCCTGAGTTCAAATCTGGCCTCAGATACTTCATAGCTGTGTGACCCTGGGCAAGTCACTTAACTGTTTGACTCAGTTTCTTCATTTGTTAAATGAGCTGGAGAAGGAAATGCAGAAACCACTCCAGTATCTTTGCCAAGAAAACTCCAAATGGGATCATGAAGTCAGATGTGACTAATAAATGACTGAACAACAAAATTCTGTGTATATCATAATACCCCTTTAGACTATAAATTCCTTGAGGACAGGGATCCTGATCTTATTTCTCTATTTCCTTTGGTGCCCATCACAGTATCTTACATATCATTGATATTTGGCCACTGTTCCTACCTTGGAACTGGGTTCCAATCTCATCTCTGACACTGCCTATGTGACTCTAGGTAGGTCACTTAACCTCTCTGGGCCTCAATTTCCTCATCTGTAAAATGAAAGGTTTGACTAGATGTCCTTTAAAGTTCTTTTTGGCTCTACAAATTCTGCATTTTAATTTTTCATATGATTGAAGATTGTTAATTGCCCCACAATTTCCCCATTTTCTGGACTTAAGCATTCTTGTTCCCTTAACCTTTTCTTCTCAAGTCCCGTTTTCCATTTTCTTATCCATTTGTCTTTCCATTATTTCTGAGTGGAGAGTCAAATTCTCCATGTCTGATTTTACCTTTGCAGTCTCAGAACAAGAGCAGTTTTTTTTTCTAATTTGCTTCTTATCCCAGAATATAAGAAATGGGGAGACACATATCCTTTCCCTTAAAAGTGGCAAAATGGAAATCAACTGTTTTATAAATGTGCTTGGGGAAATGTTACTGTTCATTTATTGTCAGCTTTAATTTGGTAATTCCTTGTAGGCTGGAACTTTGTTGTTAGTCTGTAACTTTCCTATTTTGTGGGCTCTTTAAGAGTTGCTATTAACAAACAGTGAAGAAAAAAAGGTAGTATACATCTTTAAGAGCAACTGATTCATCTGGAAGAGAGAGCACTAGCCCTCTGCCATGTCAGTGCATCGGTTCAGTCCTGACTCAAGAGGGAAGAATAGTGTGACATCCTGAATCATCCATGCCACTTCCTGAAGCAAAAAAAGTCCTGACTGCTTTATATTCCCCTCCTCCTCCCAAAGCACAGTAGGAGCCTGTTCTCACCCAGCTTGTTAAATTAGCAGTTGAGTGTGCTGTAGGTTAAGGCATTAAGCTGTATTCCCCCAATACCTAAATGCGTGCAATAAAATAAAATACAAAATCATTAGACTGTAATTTCAAGTCTTCCATAATGTGGCTTCAAACTGCCTCTCCATCTTTATTTCACAGTACTTTCTACACAGAGTGTAGAAAATCCAGACTGTTAGCTATTCCTTAGTCGGATTCTTTCTTTTCTGCCCACATATATTTATGTGTTGCTTGCAGCAAACTCTCTTCTGCCTGTTAAAATTCTTTCCTCCTAAGAGATTAAAATGGCTGTACTCTTTGGCCCAGAGAGCCTATGATTGGTTATATAGTACTATTACTACTACTACTAATATAACAGCAACTAACATGTATGTAGCACTTACTGTATGTCAGGCACTATGCTAAGTGCTTTACAGTTCTTTTACTTTATCTTCACCACGACCTTGGGAGGTAGAAGCTATTATAAGCTCCATTTTATAGATGAAGAGACTGAAGCAAACAGAGGTTAGTTAAAGTGAGTTGCTCAGGGTCATACAGATAGTAAGTGTCCAAGGCCAAATTTGAACTCAGGTCTTCCTGACTCCAGGTCAGGCACCTACTTGATCCTCTTATAGACGTAAAGTTTCCGTTGACTCTGTTATGCTACTTGGTTTAACCTATTCTGTATTCACATCTCACATTATAACTTACGTAATAGTTATATGTAGACTTAGACATGCAAAGAACATTAGAGGTCCATTAATCCATCACCTCATTTTACATTTGAAGAACTGAGGCCAAGAGAGGTAAGTTAGTTGCTCAATTCACTTCTACAGGAGCCCAAATTTGAACCTACATCTGACTTTAAAATCCAGTGAACCGCTGTCATACATCCCTTGAGTGCAGAGACTGTCATTTTTAATCTTTTCGTTCCTATTGTCTAGCAGTTTCTCACACATACTAAGGATTTAACAAATGTTTACTGAATTGAATAAAAGCTTGATGTACCATTACTAAGCTGTAGTAGAATTATTAAACCTTACCTCCTAGCTTTATAGCTTTATAAAGAGATTCCAGTATATTTTCAAGTAAGGCTATTATGATTACTATCATTCACTGCCATATATTTTGTGTGGTGTGCTATTCTTCTAATTCCTTCACCTCTAGGCAAGTAATGAGAACCTGAGAAAAAAGCAATAGAAATCAAGCTTCTTTATCAGGAAATCTAACTCAATATTTGGTTTCATGTTAGATTCCATTTCCCCTACATAATGATTACATCAAGCTCATCAAGAGGTTGAAGGGAAGGTCCTCAGGACACTGGGTGAGCTGTTTTGGAGGTGGACATGGGTACAAGCTGCCTAGGGTGAGAAAGTGTGGATGGGTTGCATTCTGCACTATTGAAGGGAATAACCACATTTGTGAGATCACAGTTCTGTTTAAGTATTCTGGTCACATGGTAGAATTGTATGAACACAATCAGATCGAAGCATCCTTTCAGTGGTTTGGGTTTTATATGTCTCCACGATAGAGAACACCCACTTCTCAATTCTTGTAAAGTAATTTATTTCCTAAACTCAAGGTGTCCATGACCCACCTGGAATCTTCCTCAGTAGGAGGGGTATCATTTATGATAATGGGGAATTTGGGAAAGGAGGATGGTTTGTGGAGAAAGAGCATGGGCAAGGTTTTAGATGAATTTTTTTTTTTACATAGATAGTATGTCCATCTGCTTGGGGCTCATTTAAGTCAGGTCATTTTTGATAAGGTCGCCTAGTCTATAGGATTGTATTAAAAGTACTTTGTACATGTTATGTAAGTGTGAGTCATTGCTTGATGGAAGACTTTAGATTACATATATGAAAGAACATTTTCTGCCTGTATACCTTTTATAATTCATTTGCATATGAAACTGTCATGGGGCAGAAGGGAAGTCTTCAGGTAAAAGAGGAAGGGAGTGCAGAAGAGAATGATGTTATCACTTAACCACAGTCATGCAGAAGAACTTAGTGCAAGCAGCAGGCGAGACTCTTTCTCCAGGCTGATTCAGATTCAGACCATAGCAGAGTCCCTTCTTTTAATTTTTATTTATTTATTTATTTTTACCAGAGCTGTGATTTCATGAATGTAGGGAACTGCTAGTGACAAGCTTCCTCCACCAGTGTGGATTGACATCTCTCCATATGTAACAAGAGAGCTGCCTGTGGGCACTGAAAGGCTATGTTACTTCATAGTGTCTCAGCCAGTATGTGTCATAGGCAAAACCTGAAGTGGGGTCTTCTTGAGACTCTAACTTGTAAGCCATGCAGCTTCTGGTTTGCCTTCTGTTAGTGGAGGCATAGTGCAATTGTGGTAGCATCCATCCAAAACGAACTCATGCCAGTGGTGCCTGTAGGAAGTAACCAAGATGAGGAACTCAGTGCAGTGATGGACAGCTATAAATCAACATCAGAACCAAGACAGGGTATTTGCAAGGTTTGCTGGTGGATTCTTTCTATTTTCACTTTGCTTTCCGGTTCTACGTATTCTGAGCAATTTTCGTTTATAATTTCCTGAAATATGGCATCCAGACTTTTTTTTCTGATCATAGTTTTTAGATAGTCTAATAATTCTTTGTAGCTGTTTCTAGTATTTATCTTAAATTACCTTATTGCTTTATTTTTTCTAAAATAATTTTTTTATTTCATTTTGATATTTCTTATTGTATTGTTAGGTTGTTTTCTCTCTGGCCCATTCTAATTTTCAGAGCATCTAGTTCTGGGGTAGGATTTTCCCCTGTCTAGTCTAAGGAGTCAGTTTGCATTGCCATTCTTTCCTCTCTAGCTTTTGCATCCTGTATCTCGTTTCATTTCCTCCAGGTACTCCTTCAACCTCTGTGCCCTGGGCATTTTTTTCTCAAGGTTTTACCAAGCCTTGTGGAGTCCCTATCCTCTTTGGGGATTTAACACCTAGGCACATCTCAAACCAAGGTATCTCCTTATGGTATTTGGAGTTTTCTTTGGTTTGCTCATGAAGCTGGGGATGGAGAGGGAAGAGGTCTCAATCTATGTTTATGTCAAGCTCCATAATAAATGTTGTGGGCATGGCCTGCCCCATATTGAGTGTGGTGGCCCCTTTTATAAGGGACTTTAGCACTGCTTCATTGGGCTTTTTCTGGAGTCTTCTCACTAAACTCCAGGACCTCCTCTTGCTCTAGGCTTTGAATGGGGTTCTTCCTCCATTTCTGGGTGCGGGAGCTACTCTTGTGCTAAGCTCCCACTGGAAGACAGACACTGTCTCAAACCCAGCTAAGGTGCTTATTCTGTATCTTGCCCAGAGTCTTTCTCCTGTAAACTTGGCTCGGGTGATAGACCCTGCATGAAATGCCCTGAGGCTGCTCTCCCAGCCAGGCTAATTGCTGGGTTCAGGTTCAGATTCAGCCTCAGGCTCCATTTCCTAGAGAGCTGTGTTTGGAGGCACTCAGAATACCCTGAGGCTACTCTCCTATGAGCTGCATTTAGGCAGTCAACAGCACTTTGGGGAAGACTCAGGCTGAGCTTTAGTGTTGCCTGGCTTGGGCAGGAGACTGCTGTGCTGGACCACCCAGAACAGCTCTTAAAGTCCTTCTCTTCCAGCCTAGCATCTCAGGGAATGCTGGGATTTGGTCAGGCTCGGGCAATGCAGAACTCAGATATGCAATACTGGAACTGCCCTTAGGCTCCAGAGGGGCATTTCCTGTCCCGAGCTTGGCCCTCTGTACGCTCTAGACCTGCCCTGGCTTGGCTATCCGAGGATTTCTGCAGGATACTGAGGGGTCCCTCTGTGGATTATTGGGTTAGGTTGGGGGGGACAGGGAGGCATGGTATAGTGCTACTGATCTGTTGATTAGGAGAGTCATGTGTTTCTAAGCTCCATGGAGTGTTTTAGGGGCTTCTGAGATCCTTTGTGTCTTTGAAAGCCAATATCTTCCTACACTCCCTCCCCAAGTCTGCTTTCAAGGATCACAAGGCAATTTGAAGTTTGAAAATTATTCACCTAGTGTGTTCCTGGACATCTGGAATCTTTGCACCTTTAATGGAAAACATGAAACTTGACATAATTAAAAAACAAAACAAAACAAAACAACAACCACCTATGTGCCATGTACAGAATGTTAAGGCACTGAAATGAATTTATTTTAAAAAATGGTAAAAACTGTCCATTGCCACACAGTCCTTGTGTTGCGTTCTAGATTGCTTTCTACCTTACCTGACCCTAGTCCTAATTCTGCTCAACAGTCACCTTTTCCCAGCATATCCATTTTTGTTACTTTATCTTTATTGATACATATTTTTAACAAAAATTTCCCAGTGAACATGTAACAGCCCTCCTCAACTACATTCTCCCCCCTGCCCTAGTTCAGAAAAGTCAGTTAATAGTATGATTGTGACTGACAGTATGTGTCACTTTCCATTCATTGCCCATGTCTGTGCCTTTATGCTGGCTGCCTCCTGTGCCTGGGATGTACCTCATCTTGACTTGTCGCTCATAGAATCCAGTTCTTCTTTCAGGATGCAGTTCAAATAGCATCTTCTGTATAAAACCTTTCCTGATTCCCTCAATTATTAGTTCCCTACCTCTCGAAATACCTTGTATTTAGCTACTTTGTATTTATTCTCTTTATGATTATTTTGTATATACTTATGTTATTGACCCTTTGAATGGTTGACCCTTGATGGTTCACTTATCTGAGGCATGAGTATGTTTATGAGAAAAAACACTTAACTGAGCTGTCTGCCTTGACAATTTACTCGTCTGGTACATACGTAGCTGTGCTCAGAGTTCTAAGAGAAGCAGTTACTAAAATTAAGTCTTGACTCAGCATTCTGAGGCAGCAATTGCTCACTTCAGTATGACAAATTGTAACATACTGGAGTGAATGTAAGATACAGAGTGCTTCATTGATTTGCATTTGAAAAAATGAAGAACATTTTAGTTAATAAGTGGAGAAATATGACATCATGATTACTCTGTGTTTATTATAGACAAAAAGATGAGAATTTGGTTGCTAACCATAAACTAGTATGGGCTTATTCACAGAGAGGACATAGAAATTGGACTGAGAATGATAAGAGAGGCAAAAGAAAATTGAGACTTTGTGCCTCGTGCACAGCGTGGATCTACTCAGCTAAGCAGTGGAAGTATCGATTAAACACTGAAGCCACAGTCATCAAGGAACTTTTGTGGACAGTTACTGAGTCAGAAAGAGGACGCTGATGTTTATAGTTCCAGAGTTTTGTGTTACTCTAAACAAATGAGTTACCTCATTCATGTCTTTCTTTCCCTGCTAGCTTTAGGTGTGTGCCCATTCCTCTTCATAGATACTAGTACATTGTGGGAAAGTATGATCCAGGTTTCTATGTGGACTTTGATGCATCTATTATTTTTACATTTCCCTTAAGTGAATGCTTGTTTTATTATTAATTATTATTAACTTCATCTTTTTGAGTAAATGGTTATATGTATGATTTAATGTGCTATCGTTGGGAATGGATGGTTTGTGAACTGGGAGTTCAAGAGTATAGTTTGTAGTGATGAGTAAGGGGAGTGTGTTTTCCCACTGCAGAGTTACCCTATGACTTTGGAAGAATTTGAATATAACCACATGGCGGTGGCCTATCTTTAGGAATTAAGCCCTGCTAGTGTGAGGGTAGGTTATGGTGAGTGACTGAGTGAGTAAACATTTGTTAAGTGGTTCTCTGATGTCCACACTCCATCCTCTCCAATTAGAGACATGGTCCCCAAGGACAGAGGACGTATGAATCTCAGAGTTGATTCAATCTTGAAGAAAGATGGGTTTCTGGATACAGTGGTGAAGTTCAGGAGAGCAGCCATGTGGGAAATGATGGCCACAGAGTGGTTGTGCGATTTGTACTAGAGGAGCTTATTGCTGATGTCATATTTAAATAGTTCCTCATTGTTTTCCCCATTAGAATTTAATTTCTCTGCAAGCAAAGAGTCCTTCATTCATTACTTTTGTATCCCTAGTAACAGTAATGCTATTAAAATATTTCTGCTAAAATTAACCTTACAATTAGAGAAATTTAGATCTAGAGAAGATGGCAGAGTAAAAGCAGGGACTCCTTGACCTCTCCCCCAAACCTCTACAAATATCTGTAAAAAATGACTGTAGAGCAGCAGAATCTGCAAAAAGACAATGAAACAAATTTCCAACCCAAGACAACCTGGATGGTCAACAGGAAAAGTCTGTTGTGCCAGTCTTGGAGAGGAGCTCAGTTCAGCATGGGCCATACCAGCAAAGAAGGGGCCCAGCAAACCTGGAGCAGGCCTCGGGAAACTGAATCAAGGGGAGCTGTGGTGGTTTCCAGACTTCTCAACCCACAAATGCAAAAGACAACTTAAAAGGTCAGTGGGGAAAGGTCTGTTGGACCTGGGTGCAAGAGACGCACAGTCCAGCCCTGGCCCCAGCACAGTTCTGGGGCGGCAGCAATGGCTGCTTCCAGAGCTCTCAGTCCACAGGTGGTAAGGGGATCGAGCAATTGATCAGAAGGAGATGACAGGGATCTCTTTGCCAGCACTGAGGCGTATTCGGTTGTTTTGCTTATATTTGGATCTGAGTCATAGTCCTGGGGCAAGGAGGAGCACTGGCATAGCAGAGCTTATGGCAGCAGTGCAGAGAGAACCCTCCTCACAGTTCCAGGACAGAAAAGAGTACTTGTGGTCACTCACAGACCAGAGCACAGGCCAGGGGAGGAGTAAATCATCTTTGATCATACCACCTCAGAAGAACTGAAAACTTACAGGTCCCTAGAAGTATCTCTGAGAACAGCTGCATAAAACCCCTGGAGCTTGGGACAGTACACTCTCCACATTGGAAGCAGAGCCTACCTTAACAAAGAGTTAAAAAGTCAAGTAACTGGTGAGGAAGATGAGCAAACAGAGGGAAAAAACTCAGACAATACAGTCTTATTTTGGTGACAAGGAAGATCAAAATGTACAACCAGAAGAAGACAACAAAGTCAATGCTCCTACATCCAAAGTCCCCAAGAAAAATAAGAATTGGTCTCAGGCCATGAAGAGTTTAAAAAGGATTTTGAAAATCAAGAAGTAGAGGAAAAATTGGGAAGAGAAATGAGAGTGATGGAAGAAAATCATGAAAACTGAGTCAACAGCTTGCTAAAGGAGATCCCAAAAAATTCTGAATAAAATAACTTAAAAGATAGACTGGCAAATGGCAAAAGAGGTCCAAAAAGCCAATGAGGAAAATAATTCCTTAAAAATTAGAATGGAGCAAATGGAAGCTAATGACTCCATGAGAAATCAAGAAATTATAAAACAAAACCAAAAGAATGAAAAAATAGAAGATGATGTGAAATATCTCATTGAAAAAACAACTGACCTGGAAAATATATCCAGGAGAGATAACTTAAAAATTATTGGACTACCTAAAAGCCAGGATCAAAAAAAGAGCCTAGACATCATCTTTCAAGAATCTA